TTGAAACTGTCTCATTGCTATTTCGCAATAAAATTATGGGAAAAGAAAAAGAAAAAGAAAAAAGAAGTCTAGGTAGGAACAAAGTTTAATTAGGAACAAAGGTAAAGAAGAAAAAGTACACGACTGCTGCCAATTCTTTGAAATTCATTCCTTTAACAAAGATAAGAAAAAGAGGAAACTGTCATCGTGGCTAAAGTATGTGTCCCTAGGCTACAGAACTCCCTGCCTGAGCAGGAAGCGCAGTGCTGCAGGGCAAGGGGCTAGGAAGTACTACTCCAAGGTGAGGAGTTCACCTCCTGCAGCACCAGTTGGGTGCAAGGATAAGGAGTCTAGAATGAAACACACAACTCACATCTCTGCTCACGCTGAGGAGAAACATGGGATAGTGAAATGCGGAATATACCTTTACAAACTTAAAAACGTGTTCCAGAAACCTATCTGGTACTGTGACACACAGTGTGCCAGTCCCTGAATAACTGTGTGGGGCTGTCTGGGGGTCTGACCCCAGCACACCCATAAATGGCAATAGAAAAGGAGGGAGCGAGGAAGGAAGGGAAAGAAAGAACGGAAAATTGAGAGGGAAGAAATAGGTAGGTTTCCTGGACTTCTTGAAAAGCAACATAAGACAGGAAAACAGGAATATCTTTACACAACAGGAAAAAAATCAATACAGAAAGCTAGCTACAATAAATGTCTTCCAGAAATGAAAGTAAAGCTTTTTTTTCAGACTCCCCTTTTTTCAACTAGGTGAAAAGTCTACCAGCACAAACTTAAGAGTGAATGACAGTAAATCTAAAAGGTCTTTTTAAATCTTACCCATTAACATACCACAGAGTTTACATGTTATAGAGCTAAAATATATTATAACAATATTATAAGAGAAAGGAATGGAAATATATTGTTGAAGGTTTTTAGATTACATCTGAAATAGTACAGTATTTGAAACTTGTCCTGTGTTAAAGATTCATATTTTAAGTATGACAAAAACCACTAAAACAAATGTGAAAACTAAAAAAGCAAGCATGGATAATAAAACAGAGATAAACAAAACCTCTGGTAGGTCAGCAAGGTGATGAATATATTAATTAGCTTGTGTTAAAAAAGCTAATGTATGCATGTGTCAAAACACTGTAACCCACACATACTTGTAGCTCAAAAGAAAGCAAGAAAAACGCAAAGCAGTGGGCATGGTGGCCAGGCCTATAATCCCAGCACTCCAAAGGCTGCGGCAGAAGCACTGCCATAAATTCAAGGCCAGCCTGAACCAAATATAAGACCCTGTCTAAAAAACAAAAACAAAATAAAAGAATTCCAAAACCAAAAAAAGCAAGCAAAAGGAGGAGGAGGAGGAACAAGAGGAGGAAAAGGAGGAGAAAGAAGAAGGAAGGGGGGGAAGGAGGGGAGAGAGAGAGAGGGAGAGGGAGAGAGAGAGAGAGAAAGAATAGGAGAAACATAAACAGAAGGATTACAAAATTAAAAGGCAAACATCATTACATCAAATACAAATCATTAAACAATTCAAAAGCAAGATTAAAAAATTATGATTACTGTATATGTTGTTTTTTAAGAAACAAATTTTTAATTTAAAAATACAGGAAAAGTAGCATTTATTTGTATTAAATTTGCCTTGCTGGGAATATTACTAATTTACTGTCTACATTTAAAATGGAAGGAAACACTAAATTTCACCTAGAGAATAGTGAAAAAAAAGTTATTTGTTTTTTCTATATAGCTATTGGTGGTCTTATATGAAGACCACCTATTCCAGGAAGTTGGTACTTGAGGGCACTGAGACTGGCTGTTCTCAAACTGGATTCAGGTCCTCTTTGTACTCTTAAGTTCTCATGAGCATTTGTTTACATAGGTTCTCAAGAATGGATGTTGGATACTTTTCAAGTGTTTTTTCTGCTCTTGCAGCTTGTATTTAATATTGTACTAAGCTAGGTATAGTAGGTTCTAGTCTATGCAAAAGCAAGAAATAAAGCTGTTCTGCATTATACTGACATGATATAGAATGCAAATTTCAAGGAATATGCAAACATATTGCCAGACTATTAAAATTTAGCAAAATTGCAGGCTAAGAGTTTAATATAAACAAAGCAATTGTATATTTATGAACTGCTAAAGAACTGAAAAATGAAATAAAAATGCCATTTACAAAATCATCCAACAGGGCCGGGGAGATGGCTCAGTGAAATAAGCGCTTCGCTGGCAAGCGCAAGGGCCTGAGTTCAATCCCTGGTTCCGCAAAAAAAAAAAAAAAAAAATCACCCAACAGAAACTTAACCACAGTAGAATTTAACAAAATACATATGAGTTATATATTAAAAATACAAAAGATATGACAAATGTGAGGTCATGAATTCAATTCCTGATACAAAAAAATGTAATAATAAAAATAAAAATACAAATGATGGCTGAAATTACAGACCTGTAGAGATATATGCTATATTATGTTAAAATATTAATTCTCTTCATATTGATAGGCAGATTCAATGCAATCCCAATCAAGTTTCTTATTTTTGTGGAAGTAAAATGACTTTATCATTGATATGAAAATGTAAGTATAAGAGGTGATCAGAAACTATGGTGGATGTTAAAATACATATACTACAGAGGGAGGAAGGAGGGAAGGAGGAAGAGGATGAAAGAGTTAAGGTGTATAATGCATTTGTACAACTGCCCATGATGAATATAACTATGTACTGTAAACACGCACTGATAAAAATTAAAATATAATAAAGACACAATGACATTAAGCCCCCTCAAAATACTCTTGCTCTAACACAATTACCCAATCATCCTTGCCACCAACTCTGAGTGCCTTTAGGTGTGATCAAGCATACAGCGAATGCTGCTGCCCAGTGCCACCCAAAGGGAAAGGCAGGTTCATAAAGACATTATGGTGTGTTCTCATTAACTTATTCACAGGATGTAACTTCTGGTTCATTCCCCAAATCAACCCCCCCACAAAAGGCAAACATTTTGAATCAATTAAAGACACAGAGGCAGGCGCACCAGTATAGCTAAATACCTGAATGAGGATTACTGGGACTACTTGAGAAAAGTTCTAAGAACAATGGGATGTGTGTTCTGAGCAAGGGAGCGTATTCTGAGGGGAATTAATGGTAATGTGTCTTTTATCGTAATTTTAAGAAAATTACACAGTATTTTTTTAATACTACAAAACTCAATAGTTAACATGTTTTGAAAAAGAACAAAGTATTATACTGATTTTAAGATTTACTATAAAACTGTAGTAATACATATATTTTGGTATTGGAAAGAAAAAAAACTTGATGAAATGCAGCTGAATGAAGCCCAGAAGTAGAGTCAAGCATATATATGTTCGTTCATTTTTGATAAAAGTGTTAATCATCTCCTAAGGTGAATCCCAATTATCCTGTCCTCCTGGTATTCACACTTCATATAGTGCCTTCTCAATATTCATACCCTCGTGTACCTCCCTCCCAAATGAAATTAAGATTGTTCCTGTAACCAACAGAATATGGCAGATGTGATGACCTGACTTCTGAGTCTTGTTTCTAAAAGGCTTTGTAGCTTGTGCTATGTTAATCGCTTGGATCATGTGCTCTGAGGGAGCTCAATCACCATGTCACGAATACACCAAGCCAGCTCTTCATAGGCCCACCTACAGACAGACTGACTCCTCCTACCAATGGCCAGCATGCACATGTCAACCACGCAAGTGAACAAATCTTGTCAGGCCTTACTGTAAGTGTTGAAGCTTCAGGTCAGATCTCCAGCCAGAACCTTACATCAAGCTATTCCCAAGTCACTGGTTCCACAGAAACAGTGAGTCAACAAACAATTGTTTTAGGATAATAAGATTTTAGTTAACTTGTTACACAGCAACAGATCTTCTATACAGGGCCAAAAGGAAATCAGGGCATAAAAGTATTTTTGACAAGCTGTAACTTAACTTGTAAGGCTAAGGAAAAAAATAATTTCAACTATTATTTTTGTTCATAACAGCCACAGTCTAGAAGCAACCGAAGTATCCATCAAGATGTTAATGGATAAATTACTGTACGTCCAATTAACACAACACTACTCAAAAATAAAAAGGAATTGTTGATAAATACAACAAGAATATATCTCAAAAACAGTCAACAAAACAAGCGTGACAGAATGAATGCATATTGCATGATTACACCTATACAGAAATAGAAGAAAGATAAAACTGAGATACAGAGGCAGAAAGCTATTTGGAGTCAGTGGTATTTGATCAGGGTGAGGACTAGGACAGGGCATAAGAATACTCTTTAAGGTGACAGAAATTATCTTGTTTGGAGCAGTCATTGCATGTTTATACACATGTATCAAAACTTATTAAAGTGTACACTTATAATAAGTTTGTCTTATTACATGGAGATTATAAGTCAACATAGTTCATCTATGAAAATTCAATGGGGGGGATAAAATAAGGACCAGTCTACTATTAGCAAATATGTTGGCAAAAATGATCTTTTTTTTTTTTCTTTTCTTTTTCTGCAGAACCAGGGACTGAACTCAAGCCCTTGTGCTTGCCAGGGAAGCGCTTATTCCACTGAGCCATCTCCCTGGCCCCAAGATGATCATTTTGAACAACATATTTACTAATTATGTCCAAAATACTAGCTCTAGGTATCTGGGAAACAAAAATGAAAAATGTATTTTCTATCTTCAGTAAATTATTACAGAACAGAAAGAAATATGTTACAGTATCATATGAATGAAGTCAGTACACAAATAAAAGTAGGGAGTGAGAGAAGAACAAAGGAGCGGCCAGGACAGTTAAGTCAATTCTGAAGAAACAGCTTAAGCAAATACACTGACACATTAAATACGAAAGACCCAAAGAATATCATACAGTTTAGTGTGGCTAGAACATGGAGTTTAAAAAGAAGATGAAACTGGGTTTGAAGACTGATTTATGCTTGCAAAGACATGTGCCCTGTTAAATACAGCAGTTTACAATTTACCTGGTAAGCAAATAGAAAGAAATTAGGTTTTTGGAAAAAAGTTAATATGGTTAGATTTAAATTCTGAAAAGATAACTGACATTTTTTTTTTTTTTCCCCAGAATTAGGGATTAACTCAGGCCCTGGCGCTTGCCAGGCAAGCGCTTATTCTACTGAGCCATCTCCCTGGCCCCAACTGAGTTTTATGTAAGACAGACTGAACAAAGGAGACTTAAAGGCAGGAAGAATAGTTGGGAGGCTGCTGCTGGAGTTTGCATGGATGATAAACTCCATAGGGTGAAGGGGGATGGTGCTTTTCTGAAAGTACAATTGGCAAGTCTCTAAATGATCAGAATTATTATAAAGGAGAATACCTTTGAGTCATCTGGCTTGAGCAAATGAGTGAATTATGGCATATCTGCAATTTAAACAGGAAATACAAGACAAGATTGAAAACCAAAAACTACTACTACTACTACTAGCAAAATTAAGTCTAAGATTCTTACCATAAAGCACACAGCAGAATCTGCTAGCTACTTGACACAAGTGCAGAAGCACAGTGGACACAAACGGACTAGTATGTGGCAGCAATTCTCAAACCATCACAGTAAATGAGATCATCAAAGAGAACTTAATGCAGTAAAAAGAGAAACAGCTAAGAATGGAACCATGAAAAACAACCACATTTTACTACGAAGATGGAAGAAAAAAGGGAAGGTGGGGAACTCTGTGCTGGACCCTAGGCATTTTACACTTCCATCTGTATTAGGCAGTTCCCTCATTTCTATAAAAAATACTGAGAGTTAAAATATAAAAGCATACATTTTATGCAGAAATAGCCTCCTAAACTTAACCTCCTTTCTAAGCCTTTTAATACTGGGGATTGCTGCTATTTTAACAGTAAGTGATTTTACCACATCTCTAATTTAAAAGTATTCATTTTTCAAAAGGGAATCCTAATTTAGCAAGCTCATTTATATACCCCAAATGCCTCTGGCTTTTTTTAAGGTAACAGAAATTAGGGAAAAAAGCTCAGACATCATCAAATTAATTGGGGTGTTTTGTAACAACAAAGTACTTGGCCCTTGTTCTTTAAATTGAATGCTAAGATAACTCACATTCCAAAGCCATTTTTCATATACTGTAATGTGCAGAAAATTATTTTCTTTGTACCTAACAAATGCCTTGGGTTATAAATGTATACATGTACGCACATTTGCAAACAATACGAATAAGGTAGCTCATATGAGAAAACATATCCATAAATTATCAAAAATAATAATTGCAGCTAATATTTTCTTTTAAAAGGGAGTTAGTTCTCACTCATCACTGCCAACTTAGAAAACCACTCTGCTCTTCCAAGCAAGTCCCATGCCTTTTTATGGAAATCCCTTGTGCTTTGCACTCCCAACACAGCATCAGGAAGTTTCTTACTTTGGTTAAGATTTTCTGACAAATATACAGGACAAGAATAACCATCATACTATGTTTAAATTTTAAGTCACTCTTGAGTTCTTTATGATCTGAACCACAATACAAACTTCTTTATTTTTCTCTCCTTAAAACTATTTTATATTTCTCTCCTAAAACACATTTTGATACTCTGTGAAGTAGATAAACACCAATTTTATTGTTTTTGTATTTTAAAACCATGTAAAGGATTACATGACAAAAGTTTTTCCTGCACAACTGAGCCTACTATGTAAAATCCATTAAAAGTTTAGTTACATTGCGAAATCCTGGAGGAAAAATCTTTCTACATTAGGAACACAGACTGATGGTTATCTCCAAATATTTACAGATATAATAAATACTTTTAAATCCACAAGTGTAGCTAAGGGGTGTTGCTCAGTAGGTGAACACCTGCCTAGCATGCATAGAGCCCTGTGTTAAGCAACAAAACCCAAGGAAGTGAGCACAGCACTCTGAGGAACGAAAACAGATACAGAAAACATGATTAATATGTAACTTTCTAAAAAAGTCAGTTGCAAAAAAAAAAAAAGTCAGTTGCATAGTACATGGTAATGAACATTCAACTTCTGATAGTATAAAATTCTGTATCTCACTGAAAGAATTCTCCATTCTGATACCTTCTCTTTTTACCTTTCCAATCTTCTCAAGGATGGTATACTTTGAAAGACTGTACATAGAGATAAGTTGATCAGACACAATGTTCAGGTGTCCCATGGTATAAATGAGGGGTCAGTTCTAAGAATACTTCTGTACATTCCAGATATCAAAATCTATAGATACTCAAGTTCCTTAAACTATAAAATTGTACTATAATTGCATATACACTATATACATCTTCCCATGTACTTTAAATCATCTCTATATTATTTACAATACTAATTCAATATAAAGTTATTATACTGTTCTATTTAGGGAAGGACAAATTTTTTTTGCATGTGTTCATTACACATGTAACCTCTGAGTATCTTTTGATCACCTGTGGATTGAGCTCATGGATGTACAACCCGAGGATACGGAAAGTCAATTATTTTTGCATCAGAGAACATAATGCTCCAAAAGCCTAAATTGCTTATTATCTGGTTCCTTAAAGAAAAAGTCTGCTTATCTCTGCACTACATTTATCAGAGGAAATACTAATTTAACATTCGATAACTGGGCAAGAAAAAGGTAACAAATGTTAGAAGTACAACTAAACAATTAACTGTAATAAGTACTACTTCATTACCACGTGTAAAATACTGGAATATA